ATTTATAAGCATCAGCAGAGAACTCACCTGAACTGTCACTTCTATCTGATGAAACCCTTCACTGTAGTTTTGAGGGGCCCATTTCAGTACATAGAGAGGTCCAGACACATGAACAGCATTCCCCAGATGAATGCCATCAATGCTGACCTTGACAAACTTGATAGGAGAAGGAGAGAATGCCAAAATTCTAAGTGAAAGAAATAAACCAGTATATCATGGAACTTGTTAAGATATAGCACTTGTAAGCGTAAAATAAAAATTACCATGTACTGTATAAATCTGGTATCTCCAACCTGCGGCCCTCCAGATATTTTGGCCTACAACTCCCATGATCCTTAGCTAACAGGACCAGTGGTCAGGGATGATGGGAATTGTAGTCCAAAACATCTGGAGGGCCGAAGGTTGGGGATGCCTGGTATAAATGATTCCTCAGTCAAGGCATACTACAGTGGGCAAGGCAGAAATTACTGGATTGACTTTGCTGTTCTACTTTGCTGTAGAACGGGATGTTCCTTTTAAAAATTACTGTTAACTTAAGAGATTGTTAAATGATTTAACAGCACACATAATGTGGCCTGTCAACATCTTTTACAATGCATTCAAAATTGACAGCATTTGCCGTGTTAATGTCTGTATATGTCACATTTGCACAAGAAAATGTTTTTTAAAAAGTTTAGAAGTAGCAAAGATACATCAGATTACCGGATGTGGGTGGAGTGAAGGATTCTCTGCAGTGGTTCATGAGCAGCACTACTATAAAGGAATGATTTGGGATTGGTGATAAGAACCACAGGCCATTCTTCAAACTTCAGGTCAGCAAAGCTGAAGAGATCGTGATCAAAAGCAAGGATCCTATACCTGATGTTCAGCAATAAAAACAGTACACTTTTGGTTAACAAATAACATCTTAAGGATAGAAGATTTATACTGCCTGGTGCTACATTTTACTGATTTTTCCAATTTCCTCTGCTTCCACTTAATCCATTTTTGATGAAAAGCAGATGCCTTGAGTAGATACCTTGCACCAGCCAGAATTCCTTCATCTAGAATTGTCAAACACACAACTTTTTTTAAAAAAAGTGTTAACAATATAGAGCAGTGTGACAACTCTAAACACAAAGTACAGCTTTTGTCACAGTTGCTTGGATGCAACTGTGAGATGGGTGAGGAAAAACAAGCTGAGCTTGAATCCTGGCAATATGAAGGTACTGCGGCCTCCCTGAATTGCTATCCCGTACCTCTGCAGTAACAATGCCTGGTTCTCCTTCACCCACATTTGAATCGTCATCCATTTTTATCACCGTCATCCCAGTGGGGAGATTCATTCTGAACCAGCTAAAATGACATTTGCACTGATTTTACATTGCTATAAGAACAGTACTATAAAAAAGGCCAAAGCACACATTTTCTTACTTCCTGCTATCTTTCCAGTCTCCCAGTTCCAGCTCTAGAGTTCCGTGACGATGGCGAGTATGTAGAGCTGGCATCAGACCACCCAGCGTATGGAAATGCCCACACAAATATGCTGTGGCAGAGCTAACGGAAACATAAATGATTATTGTTGATTTTGGAGAAGAAATACTAACTTGTAGCCAATTAATAACAACAGCTGAAAAACATTAATACATTTGCACCAGAAAGGAAAAGAAATATTACCGCATTGCCGTTCGTATTCCTGGGGATGTAGAGACGATTGCTGAGGTGGGATAATGGCCAAACCAAATGGAATGGTTACTGCCGCTACTTTCTGCAGCCAGTGATGACAGTTCTTGCATTTTATTCTGAAATGAAAAAGCAACTACAAGAGCTTTAGCAGCATGTTGTTGTTGTTATTATTATTAACTTATTTATACCCCACCCATCTGGCTGGGTTTTCCCAGACACTCCGTTGGCTGTAATCCTAGGTACACACACTAGGGTGTTAAGTCTTATTTAACTCAACGGGACTTGCTTTTGAGGCTGGGCTGCAAGAGGCATTTATCAACGGCTGCTCTAAAAAGCATGGATACTGTGAGCAGATATTTCCAAATAATTTCTCAAAGTTCTTTTTGTCATTAAAATGCCAATATGCACGTTTGAATAAATAAGCCTGCGTATCATGTAAGCCACATTCCACATACCAATGGCGGTGGGGAAGCAGAATAGTATAGACACTAGGGACCTGATCTTGAGGAGGACCCGAGACATGAGGGTACCGGGGATATAAGTCTTTGCTCCCTGCTGTGGTCCCAATCTGGCCCACCACACCTACAATTGGCATTACCAAAATATTGATCCTTTCTTGCCAATGTAAGAAAGGATCAAAGGGTCAAAGCTCCTCTACTGCCTTGCCTCATGACAGGATCCAATCCACCTCAGGTTCCTATTGCCCATGGGCATAGCCAGGATTCTTGTTGGGGGAGGCAGGACCTTTGTTAGGGAGGCAGAACCGATGTGATTGGTCAGTTTGTTAAGTATTTCTATTGTTTTACTTGATCGGGGGTGTGGAGAGCTGCTCCTCTGCCTATGCCCATGCTAGTGCCTGTTATTTTCATGGGGGGGGGGGGTGAGGAGAACCGCCCCGGAAACTCTCAGAATGCCTCCCCTAGCACCGACTTCCACCACAATATTCTTCATATAAAGCAAAACTATGATTTAAACATAACAGTTTGTGCAGGCAAATGGAAATAATTGGCAATGAGCATTCCAGTCTGCAGCCGAAATGTAAAAAAAAAGAGGAAAAATATATGAAAACTATCATTACCAGATCCAATAGATTAATATGGATATGTGTTTTGCTATCAGTTTACTGCAAATCACTGTGGGTTTCAGTCTTGGCCCGCAAGGGGTCCAATTTGGTACACGATGTCATTTTTCCCAAGTCACTCTGTCCATCAGTTGATATCACCAGTGAGTGGGGTGAACAGGGTTAAATCCTGCACTGGCAGCCAAAGCAGCAGGATTTAATCTCTACTCATCGGTGGGAGTTAAATCCTGCTCCTTTTAAGCACCCCAGCTTTCCAAACCTGCACTGAATCCCCTGCCGAACAACAAGAAAATAACTCCTGTTGCTAGCAACACCTTGCAAGGTGTCTGAAGCCATGACTTCTAAGCAGTTTGCACAATGCCATTGCAACACCCATGCCATGGATACGACTGATGGCCCCATCTACCTGCATGCTTAATCTTGATAAGGATGTGGCTCATGGGGCAAAAACAGTTCCCTATTCCTGCCTTAAGGCAACACTTGTCCAGGAATGTTAATAGCCTGAGATCGCGGGTGTTTCCTTACTGGAGCCCAACTGTTAGAACAGGGGTGGGGAACTAGATCTGGCCAGTGGGTTGGATCCTTAATTCCTACAACCCCAATCAGCACTTACTGCAACCTAAGGGGTAGGCAACCTAAGGCCCGTGGGCCAGATGCGGCCCAATCGCCTTCTCAATCTGGCCCGCGGACGGTCCAGGAATTAGCATGTTTTTACATGAGTAGAATGTGTGCTTTTATTTAAAATGCATCTCTGGTTTATGGGGCATAGGAATTTGTTCATTTTTTTTCTTCAAAATATAGTCCGGCCCACCACATGGTCTGAGGGGCGGTGGACCGGCTCACGGCTGAAAAAGGTTGCTGACCCCTGTTTTAAATGCATGCTGATTTCTCAGAGTGGGCAGTACCACTTGCCGGGGGGGGGTTACTTAGGGGGGCTTTAAGAGGCAAGGGGGGCACAGGGGGGCACTGGAAGTGCAAATCAGATTTTGAAATGACGGTAACACTGGATTAAGTTCATCAATTTGGTTGGATTACTAAACTAAATAGTTTCAATTGGATTTTGAATAAATGTGCAATTAATTGTTGCTGTTTTGAATTTTATTGTGTTATTATCTTCCTTAGTGGGTCATGCAAACGGCTATTCTGAATAATGCTTTTTATAGGGGTAGGGTAGGGGGCACTGGGGATGAGTTCATGAAATCACACAGGCCCGAGAAAGTTTGAGAACTACTGCTCTAAAGGCTTCCCGCAGACTTTGGACTTCAGGCAGGTGTAACACACAGGCTTAGGATTTTATTAGCCATAGAAGAAAGACAAGCTATGGCTGCAGTGCATGGTGTTTTACATTACCGCTTTCAATATCCCAAAGAAATTGTAGGGTCTCTTGGGGCCTGGATTGAGAGTCGCATCCACACAGATGAAAGAATATTTGCCAAAAGGTGTGCTGTGGATGTAATGGAAGGAGCCGTCCTTTTTCCAAGCAGAATATTTCCTACCAAAATGAGATGGGAATACTGTAGTCAGAAAAATCTGGAAGAAAGAGAAATGTAAAAAGGAATAAATGCACACATTGCCTAGTGCTCAACTAAGCTTTACTCAGAGTAGACCCACTGAAATTAATGGACCTAGTTTAGTCCTATTCATTACTTTCAGTGGGTCTACTCTGAGTAAAGCTTAGTTGACTACTGTCCAGTAAGACTAAGGGAGGGAGAAACAAAACTGCATTTGACTCAGTTCATCACCTATGCCATCTTTTAACACAGAAAAGTACAAAATAGTGGCTAAGAGAGAGAGAATCTGAGGGCAAAAACAGAGGAAAAGAGCTGCACAGAAATCCTAACAGCGGCAGCAGGGAAGGAGGAACAACACAGGCAAGCCAAAGACTGGGGCAGATGACTACTTCCTAAATAATTATTTTCTAGGCTACTTTAATGAAGTCATTCTTCCTAACACTTATATACCTTGTTTAAACAGAATCTCTCTGTCCCACACACAATCGACTCTCCTTCTGGATTCCTGAATGCAGTATGTGTCACAGCGCTGTCAGACAAGAACGTCCAGAGGGAGGAATCAGCTCTTCATTGTCAAAAGCACTCTTACAAGTTAGGGAAAGGTATGTCCATCAGCCCTATGTGTCTCAGCTAATTCTGAGAGTGCATCTGATGAGGCAGATACCCCCAGCCTTGGCTTACGTATCTCCCCTATCCAAGCTGCGCACAAGCAGGTGCAGACTCCCCCTGTGTTTCACCTTCTGCTCCTCCCTCTTCAACCCTCTTTTGGTCCTGGGAGACAGTGGAGCAGGAGAGGTGAGGGCAGAAAGAGGAGGTGTGGAAGCCCTCGACTCTATACCGGCCTGACCTATCTCTCCCTCCTCCTGCATCCGTTCCTTCACTCTCCAGTCCTGCAGCTTCTCCTGCCTCTGACTCTGGTCTCCTGGCTGTTACAGGTTCACCTATTTCACTGATACCTTCTTCCAAGTCAGTCTCCAATCCCCCTTCTCCCACTCATCAGAATCCAGTCACCACACCTCAGAGTCCAGCCAGTCTCTGACATCATGGTACACTGACATACCTGTAGTAGTTCCGGACATTCTCCAGACCTGGAATGTTGAATGTATCTGCAATGAAAGTGGTAAACAACGTTTCAAAACAAATTTAGAATTGAGCAAGAGACTGCGAAAAAAATAATAAGTCCAGGTTAAGACAAGCCCAGTGTACTATGAATCTTGAGATTGCAGCAGGATATCCAGGGAGCTATCAAAGCTTTAATTCCAGTTTGTCCAGGACAGCAAGATTTGCTCTACAATGCATATGCTGAGACAGCCTTTATTTTGGAATAATAATTATAGATAATAGGGCACTGGATAATGCCTAAACTTCTATAGAACAAAACCAAAAACTAATTGATTTCATTTATTTTATAATTATATTTTATCCTGCTTTCCAGCCAAAGAGGCATGCAATTAAAGTACTCATAAAGATACAATTTATAGTAACATGACATGGGAGTTTGTATTGCCATCTCTTTGGGTCTCTGGGAGTTGCTGATACTGTCCAGGATCCAGATTCTATTTTTTCAGAACTGCAGAGGAACTTGGGGGCTGGCCAATGCCAAAGATGACAGAGTACAAATGGACCCACAGAAATATTCCAGAAAAACTTTTTTCAGGACTGACAACAAACAGGTCTTACTGGCCATATATATATATATATATATATATATATATATATATGAGATTGGTAAATATGATAAACACTATTTCTAAAAAAGAATAATACTTCCATGATAAGTTTTTGTTAACTGCCACTCAAGACAATGTTTGACCATATACAGAAGAATTGTTCAAGGCCACTGCCGATGGAGGAGAACAAAATTGGGGGCTAAAATTGGTGGTTATTCTTCCAGTTGAGATGAGGATTCTACTGCATTAAGACTTCCTGGAGCAAAAAGAATGAGTAACCCGCATCTTCCTACCGTCCTTCACATGTGGAGAATAAATGGGAATCCCACCTCTAGAGTCTCACATCTTTCTTACCATGATTCCCTTTTATGTCTATCCATTTGGTTTTTTCCATGACTTTAGATCTTTTTAAGATTGTCTGGTAAGTTTGCCATTCCACCTCAAACTGATCAGACCCAAGTTTATCTTCTGTTTTGGCATCAGTCAAATCACCTGTTAATGAAAGAAAAGAGACACAGAACATTAAACATATAAAAACATCACAGATAAACGAAAGTACTGTTATTAAATAGGTCATCTATGGTCGTACTATGTAAGTAAGCTGTGCTCAATTTAAAATTGTTCACGTTAATTCTGTATGGCGAGAGGCATAATTCTGTCTCTCCAATCTCCCTCGATCCTACTGGCATCTAAACAAAAAGTTTTATACAGCAAGGTTAGTTCTTCAGGAATAAATAGAGCTCTGTCTGAGGCTTCAGAGGATGCATGGCCAAAGGTAAGGTCCCCAAACAGAGGACAGTATCTACCACAATGGAGGAGGACAGAGACTCGGAGGAATACTGGCCTTGGACTGGGGAACAGCTCTAGCTCCACTTGAGCAGAACTTTGATATGCTGTCAGATATTCCTAAAACAGCAAATGATGCGCACAGTCTTGCTCTAACCAACCTGTCTGAGATCCAGCTCTTACAAATGACTGAAGATTTAGCTATAAGGCTGGAGGAACAAACGGACAGGGATAGGAGGTGGGGAAATTGTCTATGAGGCCTACTGGAGAACCAGAAAGTGGGGGGGGGGGGACATGGTTCATTTCATTACTGACTGGTTACTCTCCCTGAATTTAAACATACCACTGTCCCCCAATGACATAGTTCCGTATGGCAAAACAAGGAGGCCGAAATATGGAACACAGTCAGGTGTGCATGTACTAAATTATCCAGCCTTATATTCTGGAGTCGCTAGTGTCTGCAGTAGCAGGCACACCCCCTGCATATCGCAGGTCACTTTTGCACCACTGCCCAGGGAATGAAAGGTTCCATTTTACTTAAAGGACATAAAAATGAATTGGCTCAAATTAAAAACTGAACGTAATGGTTTACGAGGGAAACTGCCCAGAGACAGTGGAGCCAGCAGAACAGAAAGAAATCAGCTGCCATTCCAAATATACCTATGAGTGTACTTTATTTTTAACTTTACTGGCAGCCATGGGGAAAAGAAGGGCTGCACTTGGAGACACCTTGGAAGTTGGATCAAAACTGACCATCAGCCCAAGAGCAGACAGTCAAAGTAAAAATTAGGACTTTCTGGGAGGAGTCTAAGACATCCTTCACAGACCTCCCACACATGGCAGAGGCAGTACCATTCTAATTACTGTCTTTTCACTAGTACATAATCTTTATAATTCTGAAGTTAGCAAGGATGGTAAGAAAATAACCTTTATCTCTAGAACTCTTCCTGTAAGTCCCATGCTATCCAGTAATTACAGGAAGCTACTAGCCAAGATTTCAAGGGCAGTGCCATTGCTACCTTTAGAAACAATCCATCCTGACCTTGCATTCTTATTATCCAAATGTTTGTGGTTTTTTCCATCATCCCTGGCCAAAGCAATTTTCAGGATAGGGTTATACATATATAATTATATGCAAACAAAACACAATATTGTTTTTAGTTTGCTACTCTTTGTTTCCCCTTAGTATCCAGATTAAGGTTTCAACCCTAACCTCACCTATCTGGGAGTAAGCCGCATTTATTTTAATAGGATTTTCTTCTGAATAAACGTGGTTAGGATTGCACTGGTAAAACTGTTGAGGGACAGAAATGGATACCAATGAAACTGTTCTAACCTAAACACACATGATGGGGTGGAATATAAATAGAATAACCAACAAAGAATGAAACAATGTAATGATTTAAAACAGGAAGTCCTGGGTCATACTTCTAAATATGCATAGGGAGGGAGCCAGCCTTGCCTTTGTAGGGGTTCTCAAGAAGGTGTCACAACAGAGGAAACACTGGTTTAGTTTATATATTAATTATTATTATTATTATTATTATTATTATAGCCTAAATATATGTAATGAAGGCGCCAGGCAAGCCTCCCTGGGGAGAGCATTCCATAAATGGGGAGCCACCACACAAAAGGCCCTCTCTTGTGTTGCCACCCTCCTGACCGCTCATGGAGGCGGCACACAAAGAAGGACCTCAGATGATGATCACAGGGTCTGGGTTGGTTCATATGGGGAGAGGTGGTCCTTGAGGTATTGGAGTCCTGAGCCGTCTCAGGCTTTATAGGTCAAAACCAGCACTTTGAGTTGGACCTGGAAACTAACTGGCAGTCAGTGCTGTCAGGCAAGGATTAGTGTTATGTGCTCAAACTGTCTTGTCCCAGTGAGCAGCCTGGCTGCCAAATTCTGCAGCAGCTGAAGTTTCCAAACTATCACCAAAGGCAGCCGTATGTATAACACTTTGAAGTAGTCTAACCTAACAGTTACCAGAAGCTAGGCTATCCCTGTCCAGAGGTGCAGCTGGGCCACCAGCCGAAGCTGATGAAGGGCAATCTACCCTACTGAGGCCACCTGAGCCTCAAGTGACATCAAAGGATCCAGGAGTACCCCCAAGCTACGTACCTGCTCCTTCAGAGGGAGTGTAACCCCATCAAGAGCAGGCAACCTCCCAGCCATCTGGTCTAGGGAACCACCCACTAACAGTGCCTCAGTCTTATCTGGATTGAGCTTCAGTTTGTTGGCTCTGATCCAGGCCACGCCTGCAGATGTAAAGGAGAAGTAGAGCTGTGTGTCATCAGCATATTCCTGACAACCTACAGTACTCCCGATAATCCCACTCAGTGGTTTCATGTAGATGTTAAACAGCCTAGGGGATAAAACTGAACTCTGAGGAATACCACACTGAAGGCTGCACTGCAAAGTGGTGCCACCTACCCCTAACTCCAGAAGGATACCATGGTCAGTGGTATTGAAAGCCATTGACAGGTCGAGAAGAATTAACAGGGGGACATTTCCCCTGTCTCTTTCTCTAAAGCAGCCATACATACTACTTCCAAAGACTGCTGACTCATAAAAGGGCCTCTGAGGCAAAAAAAGAACAAGTAGTATAAGTGGGAAGACCTGGTGCTCCCAAACAAACCGAAGCTGAATTCTTACAAGATTAAAGCAATCATATGATGGAACTGGTAAAGTAATGGAGGGTGGAGGAGC